TGCTGCTCGGCCGTGGGCAGCGGGAGCCGGACGGTTCTGGAGCAGCCGGATTCGCGCACATGACAGAACTGCATGAGCGGAGATGGGAGAGGGAAGATCCCGCACACAGCCCACGGTCCCCGCACTCGCTTGGCTTTGCTACCCTGCTCCGTGCCAGGAGGACGGGGCTCGGGCTCCCCCTGCGACTCAACGGCTCTTTTTGTGGTGTTATTTGATATAAATATCTCTGTTTGCGGGGTGTTGGTGCCGGGCTTGGCTCGGCGGGGTGGCAGCTCCTGGGCTGGGGTGTATTTATCACGGTTCAAATAAAAGGATGGGGGGCAGCCATGTGCCAGGGGGGCTTCTCTGGGACAGGGCTGGCACCCGCCGAGGTGTGGCCTGGGCTTGGGTGGTGGCTCTTGTTTGCCATTCCAGGCAATCCTGGGCTTGCTGCTGGGGATGTCACCATGTCACCCCGTCGGGATGTCACCCATCCTGCCAGACTCCATCCCTCTCACCCCTCCTGGCAGTTTCTGCTCACGATTTGCCGTGTCTGGTTTGACATGCCCGCTTTCCCCGTGGCTGCACAGGCGGAATGTTCAGCTGCACGTGTGTCCCTGGCTGCCTGCAGCGTGTCCTGCTCCCCTCCCCTGTGAGCTCAGGCTCTTCCAAACCCTCACTGAGCCCCAAAAAGGCTCTGGGGGATGCTGCAAGAAGAGGCTGCGTGGCAGCAGCAGGGCACAAACCTTGGGAGCAGCCATCCCTGGCGGCCCCCTGGCAGCTCCAGTTTGAGCTGGGCCCCGTTCCTGGGCACTGGGAGTGTTTTGGCAACGGCTGAAAAGGCAGAAAAACAAGGAAAGCAACCCTTGCCCAAAGAAAAGCCCATGTGGTGGCAGGCACGGGGCCAGGGCTTGGCTGGGAGCAGCCCCAGGAGCAGCACTGGGCAGCTGATGGAGCCCTCGGCTACAGAATGTGGGCTCTGGGTGGGGCCCGTGGCTGTGCCAGGTGCCCAGGAAGCCTGGCACGTGCTGGCAGCTATCAGAGCTGGGCTGGGGTGCAGCCAAGGGGTCTCTGGAGAACAGGGGGCTCCCCGAGACTGCTGGGGGGTGCATTGATGGGGGTCTGGCACAGTGGAGCACCCCCCACCCCCAGATCCTTTCTGCCAGCTGGATATGGGGTTGTGTGCTTAGCACAGAGCCCCAAAGGGGATGGGGTGTGCCTGGCACTGCTGCTTCCCCTCCCAGCCCCCCCAGGCCTGGGCAGGGCCCCAGGGATCAGAACAGGGCCCTGATTTGAAGGGCTGGGCCCTACAAAGAGTTGTCTGTTCACAGAGAGCTCAGACCTGTGGCCCCGTCCCCTTCCAGCTCCAGGGACAGGCACCCACCCACCTGTGGCCCCTCCAGCTGCCATGCAGAGTACCCAGGTGAGGGGATCCAGCTCCAATACCCATCTGAGAAGGTGCCTCAGCACC